CGGCGAGGAAGTGGTTCATGAGGAGGAGCTGAGCCAGGAGCATCGTGGCCTCCTGTGGCACCATGACCCCAGGGCAGCCCCCGCGCCCTCTCCGGGTAGTCCCATGCCCTTCACATCTCCCGCCGGTGCCACGAGGGCCGACGGATCCGCATGGCTTGCTGGGGGTGCCTGCTGAAGGAGGGGGAGGGAGGAGAGGGGGGTTGGAGGGGGTTTTTTGAGTTCGATTTTTTGTTTTTTGTTTTCTATTTATTTACTTCTTGTTCTGTTCTTCCTCTTTTCCTTTTTTGTGTTTTATCCGCTTCGTCTTTTTTCCTAAGATTTTTTTTATTATTCTACTTCCTTTCCTTCCTCCTTTTAAATATCTTCTGGCTTCCTTTTTCTCTCTCTCTCTCTCTTCCTTCTCTTCCTCTCTTCTTCTTCTTCTCTCCTCTTCAATTATTATTATCCCCTTATTCCTATATCTATTCGAATCAGTGCATGATCTTTCTCAACACTTTCTCAACATCTTTCTTCGTCTTTTTCTTTTTTTTCTTAATTTTTCTTGGTTTCTCGACGAAGGAAGACTCAAGGCGAAGAATCTTTAATGAAAAAAAAAACATTAATTAGGAAATTATCTTCAGTATTTTTGTAATTATCATAATTGTAACAATGAAGGTTATGGTGATGATGATGTTAAATAATGATAGTGATAATAATGGTAATAATGAAAAAAATATGAAAACAATGATGATAATGATAATAATGATGATAAAAATGATAATAATAATAATGATAATAATAATGATAATAATAATAAGAAGAAGAACAATAATGATAATGTTAATAATAATCATAATCATAATATTAGCAATAAAATAACAAGAATGGCAATATTAATGATAATAATAAAAATAATCATAACAATTGGTAAAGTAATAATCATTATCATAGTAATAACAACAATAATGATGATAATGATATTAATAAAAGTAATGATATCATTAATAATGATAACAATGATAATAATAATATCATGATAATAATGATAGAAATGATAATAATCATAATCGTGAAAATGATAATGATAATAATACTAGTGATGATAATGATAATAGCAATATCGATGTGAATGGTTATGGCAGAAAAAATATTGATAATAACAGTAGCAATACGGATGATACTATTAATTATAATAAAATAGTGACAATAATAATGATGATGATGATATTTTTTATAATGTTAACAATATTATAAATGTATATGTACACACACACACACACACACACACACACACACACACATATATATATATATATAATATATAATATATATATATATATATATATATATATATATATATATATATATATACAGATTCAACATTCAAACAAATTCTATGCTGTCTGCCAGAAGATATATCTATGCATCCATTCAAGAAATCAAATACCTTTTTAAATGATTCGTAACAACTAAACTCCCGTATCTTATATTTTCCCCTTTTTATAAACACTGAAATTAACGCGAATTAAACACAAAAGTTAAGACAAAATTTTCCCGTTTGAATCTGTCTTGTTTTGGCGCCAAATCGGCCATTTACGTATTGATGAGTTAACACGATTAGCTTCACCGTGGAAAATGGGCCGCGTTTGGACATGCACCGTCATTATTTGGCTTTGGCTTCGGCTCTGCCCAGCACCGCAGCCGCCACGCTGATTGGTCGCGGTCGGTAACACGTGATCTCGTGCACGCCCTGTGATTGGTCAGGCTTGAGTGATCACAATGACGATCGTCAAGCTCAAAATGTAGACTATGCGAAGGAAAAAGTGTGGATGTAAACGTTTTTTTTGGCTTTTTTTGTTGTTTTATGTATGGAAAACTGTTTATGTGTGCGTGTAATAATGTATTGTACATTTATTCATGATGAAGGTTTGTTATTAGGTTGAAGTGTAAGCAATAGATTTATATCTGTCCTTTTACGTTTCAATCTCTCAAAATATAAAAAATAAATAAAAATATGATAATGATATACCGGAATTAAATGCCTATATAGGATACAACATCGAAGATAATCCATAAAATCAACGAACAAGAACATATAAAAAAAAGTAAATTTATACACAACCTCCCTCCATTTCAAATTCCTCCTCCATACTCTTCTCCAAAGCTTATCCGACGAGAGATTTTACATACACCCATTTGTACATATTTAACAAAGTGAATTTAGAAGCCACTACATACCCATTTGTACACATTTATCAAAAAGAATTTAGAACCCACCTCGCATCTTTATTTAAATCTCCGTATGAGAAAAAAATAATAAAAAAAATCTTATTTAAACCTCCGATAAAGAGAAAAAATAATACAAAAATAAAAAATGGTGCATCTTATTTAAACCTCCGTATGAGAAAAAAAAATAATTAAAAAAATCTTATTTAAACCTCCGATAAAGAGAAAAAATAATAAAAAATAAAAAATGGTGCATCTTATTTAAACCTCCGTATGAGAAAAAATAATTAAAAAATCTTATTTAAACCTCCGATAAAGAGAAAAAATAATAAAAAATAAAAAATGGTGCATCTTATTTAAACCTCCGTATGAGAAAAAATAATTAAAAAATGGTACCAGGTCGAACAACTTCTTCTTTCCGACCCTTAATATACCGCACTTCAACCGTCCGGCATTATTTACCTTCATAATGCCATAGACACACATTAGCCCTTTCTGTCGACCCCAAGTTCGGGCAGAGGTCGAGACACACGCCCATTTTTTGAAAGCCTGTCCTGCACGCCCGCGAAACATTGGCTTTATATAGACACAATAACAGGAGGACGGAACGCAATAGAGAAATTGTGGTAAATGTATTATGCTATAATGGGGGAGGAGGAGGGAGAGGCGATAAAGTGGAGGAAAGGAAGAGACTAATAGATTAGACCCGTTGATAAAAATATTTGGATTTTTTTTCATTTTTTTTATTTTTTTATCTATATTTTCTTTTTTTATATAATGAAAGCAATACTAAATAATAATAACTCGAAATTAGAGATATCATTCACACGAAAAAATGTCACACTTTTTAACACGGAATATATTAATAAGCAACAGAGAGAGGTGTAACCCTACTGTAAGGACAATACTATGCTACGAAACAGTAAAAAAACAACAAAAAAATGTCCACGAAAGGGAGACATGAAGGAAAAAAGAAATAGAAAGAAGAAACAAAACACGAAAAACTTCTTATGCACTTTTTCCTCATTTTAATGAAAAACACATAAAAGATATATACCCTTTGCCTTTAAATGAAAACAATAGAACAGATCTTATGCACCTTTTTCTTTTGATGAAACAGCTAAAAAAAAAACGTACTTTTTCTTTTGATGAAACAGCTAAAAAAAGTACTTTTTCACTGAATAAAACAACGCAAGACCAATTCCCTCACAAAAGAAGACCCCGACAGACAGAGACGACCCAAGACGACCCAAGACGACCCCAGACGACCCGAAAGAAGGCCAAGACCAGACGCTAAAAGACCCAATGGACTTCGAGAAAAGGTCCGGGCCGTCGCGACGATGATGGGCTCTCAAACAAGCTTCATGTCGCGGCTGCTCGTCAAAACGTCGGCAAACAGAGCCCTGTCTGTTTTGTTTGCCTTGGCCATTGGCGAGGCATGGCGTGGAGGAGGGAGGAAGGGAGGGAGAGGAGGGAGAGGGAGGGGAGGGAGGGAGGAGAGGAAAGGGGGGGGGAAGAGAGAGAGGGAGGGAGGAAGGGGGTAAGGGAGGGGGGGGGAAGGGAGAGGGAAAGGTTGAGGGAGAAAGGGGGGAGAGAAGGGAGGGAAAGAAAGGGAGGGAGAAGGGGAAGGAGGGAGAGAGGAGAGAGAAAGGGGAGGAAGGACAAAGGGAGGGGGAGGGAGGAGGGGGGGAAGGGGAAAGGAAAAAAGGGAGAAGGAAGGAGGGAAAGGGTGGGAAGGAAAAGGACCGAGAAAGAGGGGTGAAAAGGGCGGGGATGGGGTGGAGGGAGGAGAGAGGGAGTGGGAGGAGAGGGAAGGAGGGTGGCGAGGGGGGAGGGGTGGAGGATAAGGGGGTGGGAGGGAGAGAGAGAATGAGAGCAGCAGGAGAGGAGAGATGAGAGCGGGAGAGAGAGAGTGGAAGGGTGGGAGCGGGGAAGAGGAGGAGACATGGATGAGTAAGAAAATATGAGAGAGAGAGAGAGAGGTGAAGGCGGGAGAGAGACGAAGGTGGGGAGAAATAGATCGACAGACAAATAGAGAGACTGAGAGACAGATAGATAGAAAGATCGAGAAAGAGAAAGACGAGTGGAGGTACAAATAGAGAGATTGAGAGACAGACAGATAGACCGAGAGAGAGAAAGAGAGGAAGACGAGGTGAGGTATGTGTACATGCAGTGTGCATGGATTTAGATATGTACGTTGACACATGTCTACATATAACCATGCGTTTACGTGTTTTTATATGTACGTATATGCGCACTTATTGGTGTATGTACAGCGTCCGATTTGGTAAGCGGTTCCATGTACGCGAACACCCTGTCTATTTTTGTTTGTTTGTTTACCGTTCCGCGTGTATCTCCACCCAGAGCACGTACGGCGCCTGTGTACGTTCTTCTGTTTCTGCATTCCTCGGGTAATTACCGCGGTTGCAAAGCCTCGTCATCAGCTGTTGTATGTTAATCGCAACTTCATCTCATCCGCGGCGGCAACTGCAACCTCTTCGGAAGGTAATAGATATATTTGCATGGCGCTCAGGGGAGGAAACTTAACATTTTTATTGGCTTTCTTTTCGACGTTGTTCACCTCCACGGCGGCGGAGGCAGTGAGGTGGCGCGAGTGGGAATGCTTGCGGGGGAGAAACACGCATATGTATGTATTTCATACGCACACGCATGCAAACACACGCGCGCATACGCACACACACACAAACACAAGCAGAAATACACGCACACATACAAACACACGCAGAAATATACACACACAAATACACCGAACACACACAACAATACACGCAGCACACATAAACACACGCGAACACACACACCCACAAACACACGCAGAAATACACACACACAGAAATACACACACATATCACACACAGCGAACATCCACAACAACAAAACCAACGCCAGAAACACGCCACATACACACACGCGAACACACACACCCACAAACACACACACAAACACACCGCGAAACACA